CCAGCTCCAATCACCCTTCCTTTCCATTCAGGTACAGCAGCTGCTGGCAAGGCCTGTGGTAATTGATGTCTGGGTTCAGGGGAACCCTGGGAAAGCCCACCCTGCTGTTCATGAGCTGCACGGCAGGGTGTATCCCTCCCTCATGCCTTTAGCCCACCTCATCTCACAGGAGGTGCAGACAGAATGGGCTAAAGAGACAGAGGGAATATCGCAGTCAGGAATCCAGAAGTCCCGCAGGGTCTGGTCATCACCAGTAGTCTCGGTCCCCAACCAGGATCAGATGACCAGGCTTTGTGAGGACCTTGGAAAACTGAGCGCCAACCCTGTGGTTGCGGCCTACCCCATGCCCAGGAACCATGCGGTAATGGAGCAGCCGTCATGTGCCCACTGTCTAACTATCGTGGACCTGAACAGAGGATATAGGCCAACGTTTCTAATCCAGGAGGCTCAGGACAAGTCAGCCTTCACAACCCCATGTGGCTTGCTTGAATTCACGAGAACGCTAGTTGGGGTTGAGAACGCACCAACCACCTCCCCAGGGGTCAGGAATGACCTACAATGTGAAGTGCAAATGTGTGCAGTTGCCCACTTTAGGGGCCTTGCAGTGTTCGGCCCTGTCTGGGAAGAGCAACTTGGACGCCTGTCACTAGTCAGGAACAAACTGCCCGTGCCTAGTCTGACAGTCAGAAATGGTAACTGTCAGAGGGGCATGTCAGTGGTTCAGCACTGGGAACCACCGGTAGGAAGAGACCCCCAGAAGCCTGGAAAAGGGGAGACTGAGACAATTATGTCCTTGCCTACTCCCCAGGCAAAAAAGCAGGTTACGTCAGTCTTGGGTACAGCTGGCTATGGTAAGATGCCTGGGTGCAACTATCATGGCTCAGCTGAACCTGTGACTGACCTAGCAGACAAGAAACTGATGGAAATGGTGTCCTTGATGCTAGCATGTAAAGAGGACTGTTCAACCTGGACGAAAGTACCTGTAGGCACACCTTGGGAGGCGAGTTCCTGAATTCACCTGATCAGAATGAACCAGATCACCCCAAGGTGAACATCTGTGGGCCTAACGAATCTGTGTCCTGATCAGCCAATCCAACAGCAGGTGTTGGTTGCTTCAGGAGCAAAATTGCAGTTCCCTCCCATGCAACCACCTGAGGGGGAAGGTTTGTTTATTTTTTTGTAGCAATTGTACATACATATATGGATGCGGACATCCATTTTGCTAAAGATCCTCCATCTTGTGTCATTCTCACTCCAAATCAGTCCCCCCCCTCCCTTTCTGTTGAATGGCATGTGGTCTGGTGTGGCTGAGTTGAGGGAGTGCCATCGGGCACAGCTGGATAAACTTCATGGTTTGTAAACCCAATTAGCTGATGCCATTGGTGTCTGGCTGACTCTTGCTGGCTGAGCTGATCAAAAAGCTATTAACCTGTCAGTCACTGAACTTGAAAGCATTCCGGGATAGCAGTAAAACCTGCATTCCATGTGAAACCACTTTTTTCATACAATTTCATGTCTTTAGGCAGGAAATACTTACAATAAAATAAAGCATATATTCAGACAGGTCAGTTTTTAATGCGAGTCACCTGATACCTTACAACCCTAGATTACGTCTACCCGATAGCAGAAAGCGATATCTCCTTAACCGTCTCAAGCAGATATGTTATATCTAGTGTCTGGACGTTCAGAATATCATTCTGCATATTATCCTACCAGTGGATAGGATGCTACATGTACCTATGGAAGGTTATTGACCATGGTATAACTTGCGAGGGATTTAGTCCTAGCCTGCGTCTCCGCCTAAACCCCCTCCCCACATGAGGCTATTGGCCCTTGGCTTCAGAGACACCCCCTGCTGGGGGACCAGAAAAGAGGCTGTCAGGCCTGAGAGAGGTAAGATGAAAAGATTCTCCCTTTTAACATCAGGAATCAATTTTGGGAGAAACGGTACCCTTTTGTTCAGGACACTTGATCTGCTTAAACCAAGGACTCTGGCAAGTACTCTATGTCGCGATCGCAGACCTTCTCACCCAAACTCGTGACTGAAGGACTAGCCAATCTAAAACCGTGATGTGACGTGCGTAACAATGCCACACCCAGCTGTGCCCTGCACAACGATTTTCCAGCTAATAGACCACAGATTGATGTACCGGCGATTGTTTACTGGGTCAGGTTAATTACGCAATTAACCCTATACACTGCCACCACCTCCTTTTTATACAGAGAAAGAGGAAACTCAGCAATCTCAGCAATAACACTATAATGGTTGAGATAATCGTCTGCATAACACAGTTATACAGAGGGTTAAACAAACACAGTAGCGTCTCTTTAGAGGCAGGAATTACGCTTTAAATTGCAATAAAGCGCTATAGAAAACAGTTCAACACTTTCAGAAAAAAAAGATTTATTACTAAAAGGTCAAACGGGTGCAATAAAAATATTTACAGAAAAAGATGTAACTAAGAGATATAATATATATATATATATATATATATAATACACTGGTCCAAATACAGAAACCAAATACAGAAACCAACAGCAAAGCAAGGAGATATCAGAGAGGTGAAGTCCGAGAAGGGGTTAAGGTACCTGCCAAAATCCTGGGTTAGCAGATCCAAGTTTCAGAGCAAAAGGGCACGGGTCTCCCCGGGTGGTATTGATGTGTTAAAATGGGAGATGTCTTCCACTTCCTCTTAGGCCTGACAGCCCAATTTGTAGTTCCCCAGCAGGGGGCGTCTCTGAAGTCAAGGACCAATACCGCATTTAGGGCGTATAGGTATGGGCTGATACCTCAACTAGAGCCAAAGTCTCCCATAACTCAATATTTTGGTCCAAAATAATAACTTTCCATCTGCACAAGTGACATTCCACCCGCGGGTAGATTATTATGCAGACAAGTGTGAGGATTGATTAGAGATGAAATATGTAATTTCTATACTGAAACAGTTTCACAAGATTTATTTTTCTGCTTTCCTGTGTGTCCGAGACAAAGAGAGTGACACCATCAAACTGTTCGCCTGCCCTGCTCATCGTCCATCTGACGATATGTCCCGGGGTTTTTTATTTAAGTCTCTCTCATATTCCAAGATATGAGACATAGGGAAAAAATGGATTTTGAGGAGTGTTATCTGATTCTGTCACCTAAGCTGAGTTAGGTTCATTAGGTCAGAATCTCTTTCAAACTCTTTGGGAAAGCTTGCCTTATATCTTATACAAGGTGTGATATATGGTACAGCTTGCCCAGACAGCTAGGCACCTTGCTCAGAGAGGTTTTTTATAGCTCTAGGGTTCCCTGCTGCCTTGGCCTGCCCAGTGACCCACAACCAGCACACACACACTGGCCAAATGTCTCCTCTCAGAAGAGGGAGGGGGAAGGGAGTGAGGGGAGAATAATGGAAACTCTTAACAAAATGGCGGACTGCGTCAGTCTCTGTTGCACACATTTGCGACACCTCCCGCTCAGGTGGTTTGCAATTTCCCTCCCTGACGCAACTGACCTCTGCCCAGAGGTTCACCTTGGGTCGACCTCGTACCGCTGCACTGCGGGAGGGACAAGTTCCGTCTGAAAAGGAATCTTTTCTCCCCGGCAACACTGCTGTGCCGAACCAAGTGAGTGGTCATGGGTGGGCACCAGTCGGCTGTGGCTATCCAAATATACTGTGGTGACCTGCTGGGATGCCCACCTGTTCACAAAACACTTCGGCTCAGGGGTGTCACCTCTAACATATTAATATGTAGCTTCTTGTCGAGGGTAGAGAAGGATATTTCCCCTCTCCCATCTTCTTCCTCAGGCCTAGGATTTACTTCTGCCCGAAGGTAGTGATGCCTGTGTGCACCGGAAACCGGACAGGCGATATTTTCTGGATCTCAACCTCCCAGATGTGTCCACAGATACCTTTATCCAAGATGCACAGTCCTCGTTGTGGCAGGCGCAGCACCCTTTTAATGCATTGTGCGCTGTGGCATTAGAAAAATTATGCAATTGCTGTTTCTTTGTTGATTAGACTGACTTTACTCTTTAATTCCTCCAATGCCGCTCTATGGATGCAGTAGGATTAAAGAGCACAACCGGAATACTTTAGTTAACTTCTTTAATAACTTCAATCTTCTTCATATAACTGCTTACAATGGCTTATTTCTTTCATCTTTACAATGGTTTAATTCGTATTACATTGGGTTGATTCGATAAATTGATAAATTCGTTAGATTCGGTAAATTCGTTGGGATTATGATTACTCTACAGTGACTTGATTCGTGTAAAGTTCGGTGGAACTACAAGTAAACACATACAACAGTTTTTTAGACACAGATCTACCTGCACTGTTAAACAATAGAGGAACACACAAGTGCATTAAATACCTATTTGGCCTTCTCTACCTCCATGGAGCTTCTCTGATGTGAACTTTGTCTGTTTCCTCCTCTGTCTGGTGAGCATGTGTCTCTAGAAAATCCTAGCAGGGAGTTTTACACAGGCACAAATGTGAAACTGGCTGGGATTGGTTAAGGCTCTGTACAGTGGTGAGGCTGTCTGTGATTGGCTCACCTTTAACCACTTGCCCTACAGGCACTTATACCCCCTTATTTTACCAGGCCAATTTTCAGCTTTCAGTGCTGCCGCACTTTGATTGACAATTGCGCGGTCATACAACATTGTACCCATATGAAATTTTGATCATTTTTTTCTCACAAATAGAGCTTTCTTTTGGTGGTATTTAATCGCCGATGGGCGCTTTACTTTTTGCGTTATAAATAAAAAAATTGCAAATTGCAAATAAAAAATTTGGAAAAAAAAAAAGTTTCACTTTTGTTTCTATTTATTAACATTTTTCGAAACAGGTAATTTTTCTCCTTCACTGATGGTGCGCGTTGATGAGGAGGCACATGATGGGCCACTGATAGGCCAGCATCTAAAGGGCACTGATAGGCAGTACTAATGATGGGTGGCACGGATAGGCGGCACTGATAGGCAGCACTAATGAGGTGTCACTGGATAGGCGGCAACTAATATGCAGCACTGATAGGCGGCACTGATGATGGGTTAATGATAGACGGCACTGACTGGCATCACTGCTGGGCACTGACTGGCGGCACTGACTGGCACAACACCGCGCTGGGCCAACTGACTGGCAGCACTGCTGGGCTGCCACTGGTGGGGTGCCCACTGGTGGGCAGCACTGGAGGGTGGGCACAGGTGGGTGGCACTGGTGGGCACAGGGTGGGTGGCACTCGCGGGCTGGGCACATGCTGGGCCAGGTAGGTGGTACTTCTGGGCACATGGTGTGTGAGACACTGCAAAAAAAAAAAGAGTGGCACAGGTGGGTGCACTGCTGGGCACACAGGTGGGGTGATCTGCTGGGCACAGGTGGGGGCAGAGCTAGTGGGGGCACACTGCTTGGGCACAGGTGGGCGGGAACTTGCGGGTGGCACAGCTACTGGGGCACCGATCATCAGGGCACTGATCATCAGTGCCCTGATGATCGGGTGCCGATCCCCCTCGTGGCAACTGCCGGTTCTCGGCAGTACTTTCCTCACAATCTGACAGCGTGAGGAAAGTGCACCCGAGAACCGGCACTTGCATTTTCCCTGTCTGATCAGCGTGTCATTGGGTACACCGCTGATCACGTGGTAAAAGGCCCGCTGTGATTGGCCTTTTTACCACATCACGTGATCAGCTGTGTCCGTAGGACACAGCGTTCACGGAGATCGAGCCGGGTGCGCGCCCCCAGGAGCGCGCTCTGGGAGGACGTCATATGACGTCCACACAGAACTGGCCGCCGCAGTTTTAGCCGTCATTCGGCTATCTGCGGTCGGCAAACTAGTTAACTAACTCTTAAAGGCATATTTTCCTTTTCTGCTTCTGCTAACACAATGAATATATAAATGTCATATAACAATCAAAGACATAAAATTACAGCAATGATTCTTGCTTTTGGCTTTAACATATACACTTTATACACTGCTTACTGAGGTTATTGGCAGGTTTGGGTATACACATATATTGTGAACCATATTAGCAACCTAGGACTGGTCTTAGCTGGCCAGCTACACTCCCACCAAAATTACCTATAATTCTAATGTTCTCAGTAATAGGATTTCGAACATGAATTTGATGAATTTTTCCATCAGTTTCTCAACTCTCAAGTGTCTTTGTTACTCCTCAAGCAGAACGACTAACTTTTGTATTGGACGTTCCAACTTGAGTGGAGTTGTGAGACGTTTTCCCCCTTTTTGTCCAGTTTTGAGTCTCCCATTTGTAACAAAACTCTTCTTACTAGTCCTTCGTTCGTCCTTTCGAGCTTCTAGGACTTTGGCCAATTTCCATTGACTTCTAGGTAAGTCGTCTTCCTTTACTAACACTATGTCATCCACACGAACATTTCTTCTAGGCGTTTGCCACTTACTTCTTAGTATTAGAATGAGCTAAGTACTCCTTGTCTCCATCTATTCCAAAACTGCTCTGATAGATATTGAACTCTTCGCCATCTTTTCCTTGCATATAAATCCTCTTTGGTGAAGTTGCCAGGCGGTGGCTGTATGTAAATCAGCTTTAAGGTGAAGTAGATGGTTGGGAGTTAGAGGTTCCAAGCTTGTTGGGTCGTTGATGTTTTGTTGACTGTAAGTGGACGACTGTTAACAATAGACATTACTTCATAGAATAGTGTCCTAAGTGAAGCATCATCTAATCTTCCGGCGTTCTTTTTCAACACTGAACTTAGTACGTTTTCTTACAGTATCTGATTTGCCCTCTCCCAGACTCCGCCTGTATGGCTTGCATTGTGGAGCATTCATGTATAAAAATCACACTGTTTCTCTAACAAGTACTCAGTTTACTTTTTCTTTATCAATCTCTTTTAGAGCCTTGTTCAATTCGTTCTTTGCTCTCCAACAAAATTAGATCCTTGGTCAGATCTAAGTTCTCTGACAGTACCTCTAATGCCTATGAAACATCTTAAAGGCGTTGATAAAGGCGTCGGTTGACATATCTTCCAACATTTCCAGGTGAATTGCTCTGGAGCTTAGACACGTAAATATCAGTCCATATCTCTTGTACTCCTTGCGGTTTTGTTTGGTGATAAATGGGCCGAAACAATCCATTCCGCAATAAAGAAATGGTGGTGATGGGGTTTTACACGATCAGCTGGTAGAGATCAGCCATTCTTTGTTCTTCTGTAGGTCTACGTGTCTTTCTACAGATTACACATTTACTTATGTACTTCGCTATAAACTTTGCTTCCTTTCACTATCCAGTAACCACCTTCTCTCAAACAGCTTTGAGTAAAGCTTCTTCCTTGATGCAAGGATTTGTTGTGGTAGTGAATTGATAATAAATCTTGTGAACGTAGAATTTTTGGGTAGAATTGCCTGGATGCTTAACTCTGTTAGGTAGCGACGCATTTTCCAGCCTCCCCTCCCACCTTCAGTGTACCATCCTGCAGAATAAGATTAAGCTTGTACAATGGGTGGTTGTTTGGAAGTCTCTTAGGTTCTTGACTAAGTCTCTTCAATTCTTCACTGTAGAATCTTTGATGAATGAGTCATATAACCGTTTCTTCTCAGCTTTCACTCTTTCCTCTACATTCAAAACGATTCTTTCTTTTCTGATTCCTTTTGCTAAGCGTTGAATTCGAGCTACTATGTTTATGACTGTATTCCACTTTGAACATCTGGCTAGTCGTGTTTCAAAGTATGTCATATTGACACTTGGCGGTAGTGCTCAATGTTTGAACTACCTTTACTTCTGGATCACCCATAGACAGTTCTGTATAACCTTCACTGGGTATGATTTCCCTTTCCCAAAGGAACTCTGGATCGGTGAACCAGTTTTGAATTCTTCAATTCTGTTACATTTAGGCCTCTTGAAGGCATGATCTGCCGGGTTTTGCTTTGTGTCAACATAGTGCCAATGTTCTGGATTCGTTGTTTTTTCCGAAATTTTTTGAACTCTGTTAGCGACAAAAGTGTGGAATCTTCGAGCTTCATTGTTTATGTAACCTAGGACAACTTGAGAGTCTGTCCAAAAATACTCTTCATCTATTTTCAATTCCAATTCTTCTCTCAGAAACTGACTTACTGATGCTGAAACGACTGCTGCCGTTAGTTCGAGTCTTGGTATTGTCTGAATATTGTTGGGTGCTACTCTGGCCTTTCCCATAACTAGGGCACAGTGTATCTTTCCTTCTCCTACTGCTCTGATGTAGGAGCACTGACCATAACCATGACTACTGGCATCTGAAAAGTGATGAAGTTCTATTTTCTTGTACTACTTTCCGAAATCATGAGGTACAAAACATCTGGGTATCCGAATTTCTTTCAAATTTTGCAAGTCTCTTATCCAACTCTCCCACCTTGGCCTCAAGCCTGCAGGTATGGGTTCGTCCCATCCCAACTTCTGTCTGCATAATTCTTGCAGTATTTCTGTTGCTCTGAGGATTATTGGTGCCAAGAATCCCAACGGATCATATATTGAGGCTACTGTGGAAAGAATGGTACGTCTAGTTGGAACTTTCTCTTCCATGGATACTTCAAAGAAAAAATTGTCGTTTTCTACATTCCATCCCAATCCGAGTACATTCTGAACTGGAAGAGGATCATAGTTAAGATCCACATTCTTTATTTATTGTTGATGCACATTCGGAGTCACTGATGGATTCTAGTACCTCTCTGTCGTTTGAGATGAATATGTGAAGACGCAGGTTTCCTTTTGCGCATAACTCTTGGCTCTCTCTCACCAATTGAATTGCCAGATTTTGAGGATTCTAGGCTTATAAGACCATCATCTACATAAAAGTTTTTCTTCAAAAAATTTGCTGCTGATGGACAATCCTTTTCATTCTGATTGGCCAGATACTTCATACCATAATTGGCACAACCTGGGGATGATGCTGCTCCCAAACAAGTGTACTTTCATCCTGTATTCCGCTGGCTCTGTATCTGTATCTCCGTCTTCCCACCATAGGAACCTCAGGAAGGTGCTCTATCTTCTTCCTTTACATGAAATTGATGGAACATCTTTTTCAACGTCGCACATGACTACTATGGGATACTTTCTGAATCTACAGAGTACTCCAGGTACAGTGTTTGTAAGATCTGGTCCCTTTAGTAGATGATCGTTCAATGCAACATCATTGTACTTTGCTGAGCAATCAAAAAACTACTCTGATCTTATCCGGTTTCTTTGGGTGATAGACACCTTGATGTGGAATGTACCACACTTCTCCATTTTTAGGCTGACCATCAACTTTCTCTGCGTGCCCTTCTTTGAGGATTTCTTTCATGAAATTCAAATAATCGTCTTTGAGTTTGGGATCTCTTCCCATCCTTTTCTTTAAGCTTTTCAATCTTGCCAGGGCAAGATCTCTGTTATTTGGCAGATGAGGTCGTTCTCTAAAAGGTAGGGGCATTTCAAGATGACCTTGTTGATTTTGCTGAATATTATCTTCTAGAACTGTACAAACTTTATGTCCTCTTGGGATACACTCTTTTCATTACAACTTACGTCTGCAAAGTCAGATTCTAGGATTTTGAGTACTTTTCGCGCTGGATTTTACAGTTGGTAACTCTTGGACAGATATTCTATGACACAATCCTGTCACCTGTCCTGAATCTGCAATCTGTCGTTTTCCTCCAACAACACCCCATCCTAGATCAGTTTGGACTGCATAGGGTTCACCCTTTCCTCCTGCAATTATCTTTCGTGGCACCAACGCCTTGGGACAATCATAGCCTATCAAGAGTCCAACACCAAATTCCTTCAGCGGGGACATTTCATGAGATATGACAGATAGGTGATTCCATTTGTTGGCTGTTTCACAGGTAGGTATGCGATCTCGATCCAGAGGTATGTCGTCTTTTGTATAAGCTGGAGGTAGATATAATATGCAGTTTGAGTGGAGTCCTCTAACTCTCAGTCCTTTGACTCTTTGACTGTTCACCAATGTGTCTCTTCCTGTCATTGTGGTGAGTTTGAGTTTCACTGGTTCTGTGGCTACTTGTAATTTCTTTCAGATTTCTTGATCAATGAAGGTGACGTCACTCTGGGCATCCAGTAGCGCATAGGCGTATACCTTCTTATTCTTCCTTTTAGGATTTGAAATACACACTGGTACAACCATTGATGTGCCATTGATTTCTCTTTCTCTCACTCTGCAAGAGAATACTGTCGCTTTATTTTCTTCCTCAGTGTCCTTAGGCATTAAGGATTTCTCTTTCTTTGGACGTTCTTCATGTAGTGGTGTAGGATGGCGTCCTTTACAAACGCTGCAATTGGCCTTTTTCTTGCATTCTTTAGTAATATGACCTTTTCTTAACTTGTTGCTGACCGCAGATAGCCGAATGAAGGCTGCACTGCGGCCGGCCAGTTCTGAGTGGACGTCATATGACGTCCCCCCAGAACGCGCTCTCCTGCGCACCCCAGGGGGCGCGCACCCGGCGATCTCCATGATCGCTGTGTCCTAAGGACACAGCTGATCACGTGATGTGGTAAAAGGCCAATCACAGCGGCCTTTTACCACCTGATCAGCGGTGTCCAATGACACGCTGATCAGAGGGAAATGCAAGTGCCGGTTCTCGGCTGCACTTTCCTCACGCTGTCAGATCGTGAGGAAAGTACTGCCGAGAACCGGCAGTTGTCAGAGCGGGGATCGGCACCGATCATCAGGGCACTGATGATCAGTGCCCTGATGATCGGTGCCCAGCAGTGCCACCCGCAAGTTCCGCCCACCTGTGCCCAGCAGTGCGCCCACTAGCTCCGCCCACCTGTGCCCAGCAGTGCCCCCACCTGTGCCCAGCAGTGCCCCCACCTGTGCCCAGCAATGCACCCACCTGTGCCCAGCAATGCACCACCTGTGCCACTCTGCAATGTCACACGCCTGTGCCCAGAAGTGCCACCTACCTGTGCCCAGCAGTGCCACCCACCTGTGCCCACCAGTGCTGCCCACCAGTGCCACCCACCAGTGCAGCCCAGCAGTGCTGCCAGTCAGTGCCACCAGTCAGTGCCCAGCGGTTGTGCCAGTCAGTGCCGCCAGTCAGTGCCCAGCAGTGATGCCAGTCAGTGCCGTCTATCATTACCCATCATCAGTGTCACCTATCAGTGCCGCCTATCAGTGCTGCATATTAGTGCCGCCTATCCGTGACACCTCATTAGTGCTGTCTATCAGTGCCGCCTATCCGTGCCACCTCATTAGTACTGCCTATCAGTGCCCATCAGTGCTGCCTCATCAACGCACATCAGTGAAGGAGAAAAATTACCTGTTTGAAAAATTTTATAATAGAAACAAAGAAACTTTTTTTTTTTTTTTTCACATTTTTGGCAATTTTTTGTTTATAGCACAAAAAGTAAAGTGCCCAGTGGCGATTAAATACCACCAAAAGAAAGCTCTATTTGTGAGAAAAAAATGATCAAAATTTCATATGGGTACAATGTGCATGACCGCGCAATTGTCAATCAAAGTGCGGCAGCGCTGAAAGCTGAAAATTGGCCTGGTAAATAAGGGGGTATAAGTGCCTGGTAGGCAAGTGGTTAAACATCCAAAACACAGCTGATTATCAAACACAAACTTTTTCTTTTCATCTGGAGACCTTTCCTTCAATTGTTGCCACTTATGTATGGAGTGATTCTCTTCACAGAACATACACTTGAAGGTAGTCTGAAGAATTGTCGGTTCAAACGCTTTACTGATCCCAGTAATGACGTTGAACTTGCTCGCATGGGCATCTGGACCTTTAGAAGCTGTGTTGGTTGCAAAGCTAGCTGCTCTTGAGCGTCTTATCTCTCTTGTAGGCCTTTCTTCTAAGGGTTTTAAGACATAAGATGCTGTTACTGGATTACACGCTATTCGTGCTTCCTCATTGACAAATTCAGAGAACTCTTTAAAACTTGGGAAGTTTTTGCCATGATCTAACTGTTTAGTCACATAGCGATTCCACCCAGAAGCCACTTGTTCTGGTAGCTTGGCTAGCATCCTGTGGTTTTCTAGATAGTCATTCAATACTTCTAGTCCTGGAACATGTGGGATAGCATTGCTGCATGCTTGCAGGAAGTCGCCATACTCTTGGAGCTTGAAGTGTTCTTTAGGACCTATTTTAGGCCAGTTTATTAACTTCTCTCTGAAAGCTCTTTGCACTAAGAAGGGATGACCATATCTTGCATTTAATTTTTCCCAAGCTTGCTTGTAGGCTTCTTCATCTTTCCTATAGAAGTTACCTTCAAGAACCTTTTTTGCTTCTCCGCCAGTATATCGCTGGAGGTAGAATACCTTGTCCACTGGACTGGAGCAATGATGTTCAATGATCATTTCAAAACTTGCCTTCCATTCTATAAGCTTCAAGACGTCTCCGGAGAATACAGTAGGTTCCGGAACAGGAAGTCTAGTGAGAAATGTTCTCTGAGGTTTCGCCGGGTCAACAGTTGTAACATCCTCGTGACCACTGCCATGACATATGGGAGTTGAATTATCTGGTTCTCTTTTTCCACTTTGTTCTGAATCAGGTAAGTCTCTCTTCTTTTCTCTCTGAGCAGGGATGGAAGAACTGTGACTTATTTCTTCACTACATGCTGGAGATTTCCTTCCATTTTCCTGGGCGTAAGGAAGAACGTAGGAGTCAGCTTCTCCACTTAGTACTGATTTGGATCTATGACTACCCTGATTCGTATCCTCTTCGTGCACTCTGAGTCTGGCTTCTATAATCTTAACTTCCTTCTGCCTTTCCAGACTTTTCATTTTTCGGCTTCCATTTTATGGTGCTGAGCTTCCATTTTATGGTGCTTTCCTGGCGCTGAGCCTCAATGGCAGATTCCATCTCTACTTCTGCTCTTTTGGCAGCGAGTTGTTCAGCTAATTCCTTTCTTTTGGCTGACGTACTTGAGAACTCTGTTATGTGGCTGGCGCTTCTGCTAGTGATGGAAGTCACACTTGAGATTGTGGTTCCTCCTAAGGACCTAGCATAGTCTTTCATGAAGAGCTCATTCATTCCCTTCCGTGCCTTGACTTCATCATAATTTGCTGCAGATGATAGTTCTCTCATAAGCTTCACTAAATCCCTAGTGACTGCGGTGCATGTATCCATGTTCCTTACAATATCCTGGGAGGGTGTCAAGGACGACCGCAAGTTGACATATGTTGTCATAAGCTCTGACTCAGAATCTTCTACTGTCTCTATTATTTCACTCAAATTTTCCTTTATGCTTTCTTGTTTTAGCTTTCTGCGAATGTCTTTGATGTATGCTTTCCACCTCTCATACATTCGGGTGAACTTTTTTCCTTTTAGTGCTGCCTCTTGCTCCAAATTTTCTAGCACCTTTTGGGTCGGTTTTCTGTCCCGTGATGAACGTCTTAGTTCACCTGTTTCAGCTATATTTGTTTGGGGCGAGACTACCGTTTCATTGCACCTTTCAGACGGGTTCTCTTGCTCTTCACCTTCTACCATATCTATCATTGCATCCGCTAACAGGGGGGTGGCAATGCTAGGCTCAGCCATTTCTGAATGCTATAACAATTAATATGAATAATAAGGACCTGTCACTTTAAATGCAATACTAACAAATGCAAGAATAAATGACTTTCACTTTACATGTAATAGCACCAAAACATAGGCAATAAATGACTTTCACTTTAAATACATCAGAATCATATACTACAACTGTCTCTTTTTATTAAAAGTCTGTATTCTCTTGAGCACAAAAATGTCTCTTGCAGAAACTTATGTGCATAAGTGAGTAATAAAGGAAAGATCTGACCTTAATTGGAAAGCAGGAAACCGTGATCTGAAGGTTGCAGAAACAAATGTCAGTCTTAAAGGAGACTTTTCTTTTTCTTGATGCTGTAGCTTGCGATGCTCTGCGGTGACTTTGCGATGCTCTGCGTGAACTCCCTGGATGTAACACGTGGTCTCTTGATGGATAGCGGTGCGGGTACTCTGGCTCTGGACTCTGGCCCTCCCCCCATGCATCTCTTTCTCTCTCTAGGGGTGCAGGAGATTTGGCGCTCTTTCTCTGACTGTCTTGCCTTTGCCGTTATGCCACTTTAAGAGTCGGCTGCAGCCTGACTAATGCGCACGTGCTATGGCCTGTACTGTTGTTCTGCTGAGGTGTCTCCGCGTGGCGGTATATGCTGGCGCTCTGTGTACTCTTTACTGTGCAAGTTGAGGAGCGCTGTTGCTTGACCTCTGAGGGTAATAGTTCCACTGTGGCAGGCGCAGCACCCTTTGGTGCCTAGTGCGCTGTGGCATTAGAAAAATTATGCAATTGCTGTTTCTTTGTTTGATTAGACTGACTTTACTCTTTAATTCCTCCAATGCCGCTCTATGGATGCAGTAGGTTTAAAGAGCACACCGAATACTTTAGTTAACTTCTTTAATAACTTCAATCTTCTTCATATAACTGCTTACAATGGCTTATTTCTTTCATATTACAATGGTTTAATTTGTATTACATTGGGGTTGATTCGATAAATTGATAAATTCGTTAGATTCGGTAAATTCGTTGGATTATGATTACTCTACAGTGACTTGATTCGTAAGTTCGGTGGAACTACAAGTAAACACATACAACAGTTTTTTAGACACAGATCTACCTGCACTGTTAAACAATAGAGGAACACACAAGTGCATTAAATACCTATTTGGCCTTCTCTACCTCCATGGAGCTTCTCCGATTGGAACTTTGTCTGTTTCCTCCTCTGTCTGGTGAGCATGTGTCTCTAGAAAAACCTAGCAGGGAGTTTTACACAGGCATAAATGTGAAACTGGCTGGGATTGGTTAAGGCACTGTACAGTGTGAGGCTGTCTGTGATTGGCTCACCTTTAACTAACTCTTAAAGGCATATTTTCCTTTTCTGCTTCTGCTAACACAATGAATATAGAAATGTCATATAACATTCAAAGACATAAATCACAGCAATGATTCTGCTTTTAGCTTTAACATATACACATATACACTGTACTGAGGTTATTGGCAGGTTTGGTATACACATATATGTGAACCATATTAGCAACCTAGGACTGGTCTTAGCTGGCCAGCTACACTCGTTACCTGCTAGCATTCAGGACACCATTTCCGCCAGTTTCCTGTCTGCTAGGTCAGTCACAGGTCCAGTTGAGCCATGATAGTTGCACCCAGGCGTCTTACCGTAGCCAGCTGCACCCACGACTGACGTAACCTGTTTTTTGGCCTGGGGAGTAGACTAGGCCACCACTGCCTCAGTCTCCCCATGCTCAGACCTCTGGGGGTCTCTTCCTACTGGTGGTTCCCAAAACTGAACCACTGACATGCCCCTCTGACAGTTGCCATTCTCGACTGTCAGACTAGGCACGGGTGGTTTGCTACTGACTAGTGACAGGGGCCCGAGTTGCTTTTCCCAGACAGGGCCAAACACCGCAAGGCCCCTAAAGTGGGCAACTGCACCCAGTTCCATTCTACATTGTGGGCCATTCCTGACCCCTCGGGAGGTGGTTGGCACGTTCTCAACCCCAACTAGCTCTCCCGTGGATTCAGGCAAGCCACATGGGGTAGTGAAGGCTGGCTCGTCCTGAGCCTCCTGGGTTGGAGATGGTTGCCCATACCCTCTGCTCAGGTCCATGATGGTTAGACAGCGGGCCCCTTCCGGATGCTCCATTACCTCATGGCTCCTGGGCATGGGGTAGGCCACAACCACAGGGCTGGTGCTCAGTTTTCCAAGGTCCTCAAAAAGCCTGGTCATCTGATCCTGTTTGAGGACTGAGACTCCCGGGGATGCCCAGACTCTAGCGGACCCCTGGATTCCTGACTGCGCCATTTCCTCGGTCTCTTTGGCCCATTCAGCCTGCACCTCCTGGGAGAGGATGTTGGCAGAAGGCAGGAGGGAGGCAGACATTCTGCCGTCTAACTCCTGAACCGCACTGTGAGCTCCTCCCGGGTTCTCCTTAATCCAGACACCATCTATCAGAGGCATTGCCAGCAGCTTCGGGACCTTAGTGGAAAGTAAAGGTGATTGGAGCCGAGGACCGCAGCCCCCTCTCTGAGCTCCGGAGATCCCTCGCATTTCCAATCCAGGTGTGCTGTCACTGCCTCGGACACACGTTTGCCTGCCTGTTGACACACCATG